GCTCCAGCAACCTCCAACTCCTGGGCTTAGGCGATTCTTCTGCCTCAGCCTCCCAAATAGCTGGGACTACAGGCGCCCGCCACAGCACTCAGCTATTTTTTGTTGCAGTTTGGCCGGGGCTGAGTTTGAACCCGCCACCCTCGGTATATGGGGCCGGCGCCCTACTCACTGAGCCATAGGCGCCTCCCGCAGTTCTTTCCATAAGGACCTTTGTCACTAGGGCCGGATGGTCCCCACCCTACCCTTGAGGAGGTAGGTTGCTCTGCAAAGGGCTATCCCATGCAGGAGGTTGAAGAAGGTCAAAGACATCTGTCCAGAAGCTCAGGGTGGGTATGTTAGCTGGTCATGGGGGGCCAATTCCAACTGGCCCATTGGGAAGACCCAGGAGTCTCTATCTTCAGTCCCTAGAGAGGCAGGTGATATTGGTGGGACAAAAGTAGTGAGGCCTCCCCACCTAGAGTGGGCCAGGCTCCACCAAGGAGAAGGGGGGTGCTGTGTGATCCTTGAGTTCAGTATGTCCAGCAAGGCCGGAATTCTGAGCAGGGTGCACACACCACACACCTGCGAAACCTCCCAAGGGAAGCCTCCCTGAGGAACAAGAGCTGCATCAACTGCACGAATTGGCTCAACCCTGCAGGGACTGGGGCAATTGTGTTTTCACCCCTGTGGTCCCCCATGCTGATCGAAAAAGGGATCATTGCAAGTCCTGTTGCACTCAAGAGCCAGGGGCTGGCTCCCACCTCACACACAGCCTGACCTCAGTCCCCTCGGATCCCACAGGGCCAACAAGAAGAACACAGGAGGCTCCTTCAAGCTCAGAGATGACCTGGGGGGGTCATCTCAACCAGTCTCCCAACTCAGAAAAATCCTCACCCTTGCCCAAGCATCCTTCTAGGCATTGCTTTCTTGGGGGCTTCTCTAAGGATCCCATCTGAGGGAGTAGCTGGGGCGATGAAGTAGAGATAGACCTGAGAAACAGGGTCAGAGAGTGAAAGGTGAAAAGGAAAAGACACAGCAGGACAGAAGTGGGAGACTAGAGAAGGAGAGAGGACAAGATCTAAAGACAAGAGAAGGTGGGGCAAGAGGAAAGATTGAAAGCAGCGACCCCAGACTGAGGAGGGGTCTGGAGTTTCTCCTGGTAAGCAGGAGAAACAAAGAGAAGGAGCACGCAGGGACAGAAAATGGGAGAAGGGAAGAGCAGAGAGGGCAGGGACAGAGGGGGAACTGAGGCAGGGAACAGAACTAGCAAATGAGGGCTAGAGTGGGGAGGGGGCTGAAGAAAGAGCAGAGGGTATGGAAAGCCACAGAGTAGAGATATGTTAAGGAGGGGACCAGGACTCAGAGGGAGGAGTTCTGGGGACACTTAAGTCACACCAGCACATCTCAGCCTGGTTCTCTTGACAGAAAGGAAGCCAGTTTTTATTTATTTATTTTTTTTTTTTAAAAACAACCCCACAGCATTTACTACGATCTAATAACGTAATCAGAAAATACAAGCAAATATTTTACAACTGTACTCCCAAAAAAGACACACACACATACACATATGCATGCATTCCCTTCTCAAAACTTGTCACTTCCTTGCTCCTTTCTAGTTGGAGACATTCTGAGCAAAGGACTTTTTTTTGAGACAAAGTCTCACTACTTTGCCCTCAGTAGAGTGCTGTTGCATCACAGCTCACAGCAACCTCAAATTCTTTGGCCTTAAGCAATTCTCCTGCCTCAGCCTCCCAGGTAGCTGGACTACAGGCACCTGCCACAATGCCCAGCTATTTTTTGGCTGTAGTTGTCATTGCTGTTTGGCAGGTCCGCTTTAACCCACCACCTCCAGTGTATGTGGCTGGCACCCTAGCCGCTTGAGCTACAGGTGCTGAGCCAACTATCTTTTTTTCCAGCATAATTGGACCTGATTATTTTTCTTGACTTTGTTCTGTAGAAATCTCGTCTGTATCAGCTGCCAAGCAGTTCGCATACCAACATCAGCAATACGTCACAAATCCACTTCTTACTGGGAGGCTGGCACACACCTCTGCCCACATAGATTGGGCAGAGGCAGGTCAGGGCTGGGCCCAGCAGTCAGAGCCCGCTGCAAGTGAGTAGTCATGGGCAACAGAATTATCAGTCCGAGACTTAGCAGGCAGGAGCCAAACAGATGCCCAGTCCGGCTCCCCTGACCCCCACAAGCAGGGGGGGCCTCCCCTCTATGCCATCGTCCTTGGCACTTCCACACTTTGCCAGGCTCCTGCAACCTGTGCTGGGGGGAGGGGAAGGAGGTCTTGGCCTGAAGGGAGAGCTTGTGGCTGGGTTGCTCCTAGCCAGCCCTCTTGTGAAAATCTAGAGGGCAGTCTAGGGGGGCTGGAACCCCTGACCAGGCCACTAGGCACCCTATTCAATTCTGCCACCCTAGTGGGGCGAGGGGTAAGAAGAAAAGACGAGCTCAGGCTGCAAAGGTCAGGGGTCAGGATGCCGAACCCTGGGTCCCCACCAGGCCAAGTCAAGCTCATAGCTTCCTCTCCCCCCATTTTAACTCCAGTATCGCTTCCAGTGTCCCCATACGTGGGCAAAATCAGAACCTGGAGAATAAATAATTTATTGAAATTGGAAGAATAAATAAGATATGTGGGCAGAGTTACAAACAACCGTAAAAATCATTAACATCAATATAAACAAAGGCGCTCCCGGCCCGGGGCGGGCCCTGGAGCGGGAGGGGGACGCCCCCCAGAGGTAGAAGGCTCATTTACAGCAGAGGAAGCTGCAAGTCCCGTCGCCCCGGCTGCTCTACCGGGGCGCCCCGCCCTGGGAGCTCCCCTGCCAGCGCCCACGGAGCTGCACGCCTTGCGCGACCCTCTCCACCCAGGAGCGGTGCGCGGGGAGACTGATGTAGACGCCGGGCCGGTTGCGCTCCGCACAACCCTCACCCCAGCTGATAACGCCGGTCAGCAGCCAGGAGCCATCCACCTGGCACATCAGGGGGCCACCAGAGTCGCCCTGCCGTAGAAAAGAAGCTGTTAGGACCCCCCGGGGGGACAGGGGTTGGGCACAGCAGGACCTACGCCACGTCAGTGGGCAGACCGGTCCCTTTCTAGAGTCCACTTTTCCTTCCCGGAGGCAGTGGTACCCGAACTGCATCGGTAATCAGTGAAGGACATGCCTTCCAAACTCACTGCCCAGCCTGTCCCCTCTTACCCTGTACTGTGTGATTCATAATTTGAAGATTAGAAAATTGAGGCTCAGAAAGAAGAAACATTTGCCCAAGCTTACAACTATGGCAGCAGAATAGGAATTACAACCAAGCTTCCTAGGACAGGCTGACACTGTCTCTCTCGAGACCAGTGCTGGAAGCAGGGTGGGGTTGCTCACCAGACAGGCGTCTCGCCCCCCCTCCAGGTAGCCAGCACACAGCATGTCCTCAGTGATGGCCGCCTGCCCAGCTCCCCGCCAGTACAGGCGGTTGCAGGTTTCCCTGTCAATGATGGGGACCTTCAGCTTCTGCAGAGTCTGAGGGTGCGGTAGAGACACTGGAGGAAAGGAGGACAGAGTCAGGCTTGTGGACTATTTCCCTCCATCCCCACTAGCAGCAGTTACTCAAAGGCTAAAGGATAGGCTGCTCTATTAGGCTCTCCCAAGGTGCTTTCAGAAAACCAGAATTCCAGGTCTCCACTTCTGTACCTACTGAATACGGAGCCTGGGATCGGTCCTCTGTAATAAGCTTTCGGATGCCCCCAGGTGAGTAAAGCTTGGCTGAGGCTTTTCCTCCATTACTTCACCCAGCAGGGGCCTGCCACAGCACAAGTGTCCAATAAATGTCCACTCAACGTTAATACTGAGGGGTCCCCACACCCTACCCAGGGCTGGGCTATGGACTCTCTCCAGTTTGCAATTTCCACTCTCACCCAAATTGGTGTGATTTCTCTTAATTCTAGAATCTGGTTAAAGTTCCGTTTTGCTCACACTTTGTCTTTACTTAGTCTTAGTCTCTCTCTCTCTCTCTCTCTTACACACACACAGACAATCTCTCCCTTCCAGGTCTCCATTGCCTCTCTTTCATTCCTGGTCTCTGCCTGAAAGTTTTCTTTTCTTAGCCCAGTCACCACCTATTCTATCTATTTATCTATCTATCACTTATCTTTCTCTCGCTGCCTCTTTGCCTCTGGCTTTATTTAATCTGGTTTGTGTTTTTTTGGCAGTTTTTGGCCGGGGATGGGTTTGAACCTGCCACCTCCGGCATATGAGACCAGCACCCTACTCCTTTGAGCCACAGGTGCTGCCTGTAGTTTGTGGTTTTAGATGATGTTTTTCCAAACCTCTAGATTTGGTTGGAAATTACATTTTACAATTAAGGAGAATATGCATTTCCTCCAGGGAATTTTGAAGGCATGCTGCTACCAGGGGTGCCCAACCCCCCCCCCCAGGGCTCTTCATCTTCATCTTTCAGCCCTTCTTGCATTGGTGAATACCTGTTGTTGCCTCAAAACACAAAGATACCTTTGAACAAGAAATGACCCAAGAAATGACTATCCACTTAAGTCTCTGACTTCACATCTCTGGGTCTCAGCCTGTCTTCGCTTCTATCTCTGGCATACTATACCTCTGGCCTCTACCCCTTGCTACTCAAGGTATCTGTCTCTGAGTGTCTGCCACCCTCAGTCCCATCCATCCCCAACCACCTCTGAAGGAAAGAAGCTGCACCTCCATCATGGATACTCCCCCAGCCCACAATCCAGCAGTCAGCATCTTCAGAGAGATGGATGGAAGAATCCGGCAGGCAGATGGGCAAGATTCGCTCGGAGAACTGGATGGGATGCTCGAGGCGCACCAGGGCAATGTCTGCACGCTCAGCCTCCTTCCAGGAGTACCTAGGGTGTGGCAGCACCCAGGCAACGCCCACCTTCTGGGACCGAGGGCCAGGGTGCCCCAGCTGCCAGGCCCCTAGAAGCACTGAGAATAGGGATGGCTTATCCAGATTCCTGGAAAAGAATGGGGTGGCATGAGCTAGGAGGAGTCTGGGAGAAGCTGATGCAGAAAAGAAAGGAAAAGAGATGCAGTGCGGTTAACAGCCAGAGTCAGAGAGGGAGAGAACAAAATAAAGGGACGAGAGAAGAGCTAGAGCTGGAGTTCCGTGCAGAAGGGACAGTGTCTGAGCGGAGGGAGCAGCAGCCCTCAGGGCAGGAGGGGCAGGTCTAGGTTAACAGCAAGACTGGGAAGGCCTTGAAGGCAGGAGAGGCTTCTGACAGAATCTGAGTCTCTACTGAGGGGCACCAAGATTGGACAAAGGCTTAGAAGCTGGGACTGCGTTGGGAGGAAACCTGGGTCCCAAGGGCCAAGTGGTTGGCCTGGTCATACGTACCCCTTAAAGCAGTGGGCAGCGGTGACCACCCAGCGGTTGGTGAGCAGGGAGCCTGCACAGTGGTGGGTCCCATTCTTTTGAATGCTCACGACCCACGGCCACTCAGCATCGGCACTGTCCTGGCCACCCACAATCCGGTTCAGCTGCTGGGGCTTCCCACAGGCTGGGGGCGCTGCCAGGCACGGTCAAAATTCTGTCTCTCCAACTCCAGGCACCCCCAGGCCGCATCCTGGCCTCCCCTCCCACCCCCCAACCCAGCCAGCTCACCCTCCCCTGAGCCATCTTCTGCTGGTTCTTCCCCCATCTCTGGGCCCTCTCAGCTCCCTGCAGCCTATCCACCCATCCCCCGCACCCCCACCACCTCCACTCTGCCCACCTGCCTGGCACACCTTTCAGCCCTCACTCTCCCTTCCTGCCCCCACTTCTGCTTGGGTGGAAACCCCTTCGGGCTTCCCTTCCTCCCCAGACCCAGGGCAGCTCCCACTCACCAGGTATCTTGGCAGCTTTGAGGGTGGCTGAGGGTGAGAGAAGGGAAGGTCAGGCTGGTAGCAGGAGGAGCCCCTGCCCCTCAGTGGTCAGAGATCCCCTCAAGTCACTTATTGCACAGGCCCTCCAGGTAAGGCATTTCAAGCCCCCTCCCACAGCTGCTGCTCTCCCCTCGGCCAGTCCACACATCCAGCCTGCTCCACACTCTGTCCACCACTGGGGATGAGGCACGGGAGAGGGATGGATGAGGGACAGGCATGTCCCAGAGAGGTGGAGAGCAGACTCAGGAAGCACAGACCCAGGTCCAGGCCCGGATGCTACTGCCACCTGGCACCCTCCCGTGGCCTCCTGCCCCAAGATATAAGCTAGGAGGAGGGCAGGGTGACAGACGGAATGGCCTCCTGCCGCAAGATGCAAGCTAGGAGGAGGCCAGGTGACAGAAAGGAGAGAGCAATGTGCACTGAGCCACTGTGTGCTAGGCTAATCCACATTCTTTCATTCAGTCCTCAGCTCTAGAGGAAAGGAGACGCGGTATGGCTAACAGCCAGAGACAGAAAGGGAGAGAACAAAATCAAGGGACGAAAGAAGAGAAGAGCTGGAGTTCCATGCAGAAGGGACAGTGTCTGAGCAGAGGCAGCAGCAGCCCTCAGGGCAGGAAGGGCAGGTCTCTGAACTCACCTGAGGAAGCCAGAAGCAGCAGGGAGGTTATGATCCTGACACGGGCCCCACCCAGGGCTGGGGGAGGTCTGGAAACCACCATAGCTGGTGGGGGTGGGGGTGGGGGCCCAACCAGTCAGCAGTCTCAAGGGACCCGAGGGCTGTGCTAGTTGGGACTGGCAGGGCAGGTGGCCTGAGTGTGTAGGGTACCCTTCGGATTACCTCGGTTTTATCCCAAGAGGTGGAATGCCGTCAGACCAGTCTTCCAGGCTGCTGAGTCCCAGCCACCCAGGCTGTGGGTACAGGGCAGGCGGGGCTGTGGGGAGGAAATGAGCCGCTAGGGGAGGGCACTTGAGCTGAGACCCCAGGCCTGGGGCCTGGTGGGTGGGCTTAGGGCCCAGGCTCCAGCTGTGGGTCCAGGATGTGGCCTCTGGAGGGGCAGGTGAGGGGACCTGGGCCCAGAATTTCCTTATAATGACTGGGGGTGGGGTGGGCAGAGAAAGGTCCCACAGTGTTGGAAGGAAGGGGATCTGGGGTGAGGCAAGGCCTCAAGTCTGGAGAGCTGAAGGCTAGTGTACCAGGTGTTGGGGGTACCCCAAGACCCTTGGGGGCTGGAGACTGACAAGGAGGGTGGCAAGGCTCTGTAACGGCTCCTGCCTCCAGGGGCTTGGGTGCCGTGACTCAGCCTGGAGATCTGGCCCCACCTGGGGCTCTGGAATCCCGTTAACCCACTTCCCAGAAGGCTGTGAATCAGGCCTCAGTGGTGTCTGTCCCTAGAACCACCATCCCTGGGGCCGCCCTGGAGTTGTCTGTATAGGAGAGGCCCAGCCCTGTCACTTCAGTCACCTCTCACCTGGACTCCAGGAAGGGGAGGAGCCTGCAGATAGGCCTGTGGCTATCACTGCCAGGAACCCCCCAGGGCTGGGCTGAGCTGGGGTAGCCCAGGCTGGAGGTGGATTAGTTGTGTTTCCACCCAGCACTGACTCAGCACCCTGTGGGGCCCACACTTTCGACACCCCCCCCCCATCCCAAGCAGGAGCAGGCTTCCTCTAGACCAGCCAGCACCTTTGGGTCACCTGGAATTGGGAACCTGACTCTGGCCAGAGGGGGTGAATGAAACACACCAGAGCAGCTACAGGTGTGTTCAGGATTGCCGCATTTCAGCCTCAAATTTCCTTATTATTCCCATTCTGCAGAGGAGGAAACTGAGGCAGCTCAGGGAGGTTAAGCAACTTGTCCAAGATCTCCCAACTGGTGGGTGAATGGTGAAACTTAGATCTGAACCTGGATCCTACAGACGGCAGTGGGAGCTCAGGCAGCTGTGGTCATTTTGTGCTGAGGTGGGAGCTTGGGCCCAGAGAAAGAACCTGACCCTGATCAAGGATCAGCAAAGGCTGCCTAAGAAAGGAGCCATCAACTCAGATCCCTGGAGAAGAGCAGGGTTGGCCCTGCATTACCCATGGTAATGGTGACAGTGACATAATTCCAGAGGGGAGCTGAGCACAGAGGCTACAAGAGGAGTGGCCCAGGGAGCCCCACCTCACATCCTGGAGACTTCAGTCAGAGCCCCTCTGGCAGAGCACACAGATGCCTCCTGAGTGCCACAGCTCTGCTCTGGACACATCTGTCCTCAGCGTTCTCCAGACCCTGCACTGGGGTGAAATCCATGCTGCTCACCTCCTCAGTCTGTTAGGGTTAATGTGTGTGGCAGGAACATTGCTGCCATGGTCCAAAGCAGCCCAGATCTACTGCAGGCAAGGGCTGCCCCTTCCCATTGGTACAGTGCCCAGGGTAGGGCCGAGCCCCCCATTGATGCCCTGTTGCCTGTCCCAGGACTCTGAGGGGTTGGGGCACTGAAGGAAAATGCCTGTGCAGAGTGGCCAGGCAAGGGGCAGTACCCTTGGGCTGCCAAAGCAGCAACAGTGCAGGACTGTCATTTGGGCCTCCTCATCTGCCTTCTCCTGGGGCCCCTGTGCCCATGGCTGGACCTAAGCCCCATGCTCCCCAGCCTACTCCCTTCTGGAACTGAGGTGGTTGCCCCCCCAGCTCACTTGGCATTTGCTGGGCACCTGCTGAATGCCAAGCCTTGTGCTGGCCACAAGGACATACATGATGAACAAGCTAGGTCCTATGTTCAGGAGACTGAAATCTTCCTAGGGGTAGGAGCAGGTGACTGGGGGATAAGAGTGAGGCCTTGTGGAGGGGCACAGAGGCTGGAGTCTGGGCCATGGCATAGCCCCTGGAGGGCCTCTGTGAAGCTGGGTCTGTGAGCTTTGGCTCCCTGGGCAGAGGTACAGGGTGGAGAGAGGAGGCTCCTGTGGATCCTCAGGGTCCTGTTTGGGCCTGCTGCCCATCAGGTCTCAATAGATGTTTGTTGAATGAATAAGTGATTGTGGAAGAGCTGAGTCTGGAGGTGGCTGGGAAGTGATGGCTCAGTCTCTCAGTCTCTCCTCTCTTCCCTCTTCCTCTTCAGTCTCTCCTCTTTTTCTCCCCAGTTTCCTCTCTGTTCCAGCTTTTTCTGCCTAAAATCTGGCTCACTGCCCTGGGAACCCCAGGGGCATGTACCCTTCCCAAGATGCTGTCATCAGTAGAATGTTGTGACCAGGAAGTGGGCTCCACAGAAAAGGGCTCCATAGGAGCCAGAGGAAGTGTGAGAGGCTAGGTGAAAACTTCCTGGCAGAAGTCCCAGGGAAGAACCCCAGATCCTATTCCCTAGTTCCCAGGGTGTGGGGACCAGAGTCTCTGAAGGGTCAGGAGGTGGAGACCCTGGTCTGATTCAACATTTATTCAGCAAAATATTTATGCCAGACCCACACCAGACATCCCAACTGAGCATCTCTGAGTTGCCCACTCCTGCCACCCATGTGGCCTGTCCTGGTCTCAGGACCACTGACTGATTTGCACTCAGGCAGTCATGACTTACATGCTAATGACAGCTGGAGCTGGCAACACTTAAGCCAGAGAAGTGACTCACAGCAGTAGCATTTCAGATGTGGGCCCAAGAGTCAGGAGATACTTCGAACAGAGGTATCCATTCACTACCTTACCAGAGGCTGCTAAGCAACAGTACTATCTACTAGAGACTGTCCCAAGCCCTGGCATAGTCAAGGAAAATAAGACACACTTCCTACCGTCATAAACTCAATCAACAGGCATATACTGGGCACCTACTAAGTGCTAGAGATACAACAGTGAACAAACCAACTGCAATCCCTGCCCTCATGGTGCAGACATTGGGTGAAACAGAGAATTGAAGAGATAAGTGACTCATGTAGCCCAATAGCTGGTAAGACCAATGGCACTGCTTGTGGGGAGGACGAGGATAAAGGAGACACCAGCAGGCACAAGGGAGAGACAAGGGAGTGGTGAGAGGGTAGATTCTAGATCTTTCCTTGAGGCCAAGTCTACAGGACCTGGAGGGCAGAGTGTGATCTGAGATGGAGGTCCTCACGCAGGTGAGCTCAGGACAGGGGCTGAGGGAAATAATCTGGGGGTCGACATGTGGAGAATTTAAAGCCTTGAGACTGCTGAGATGACCCGTGGGTTGCGTTAACCCTGCAGTGTTGTGATTTCATATTTTTAAAAAGCCGATTTTCAAATAATGCTGCAGTGAACACGGGTATACAAGCATCCATCTGGGTAGCTGCTCAAACAGACCTGGGTACATGAGTGAATGAGCAGCGTCATTCACAAAGCAAAAGGGTGGAAACACCCACATGCCTGTGGATAGATGACTCTAAGCAAAATGTGCTCTGGCTATTCTGCAGAATATTATTTAGCCATAAAAAGGGATAAAGCAAGGGCACAAGCTACAATGTGGATGGACTTGAAGACACCAGGCTCAGTGAAAGAAGCCAGACAGAAAGACAAATACTGCTCAGATTACTCACATGCAGAATGCGAGTGCGGGGGCTGGGGCAGGATAAGCCGGGAGTACGTGTTTAATGGGGACAGAGTTTTAGTTGGGGAAGTTGGAAACAGTTTGGGAGATGGATGGAGGTGACAGCTGCACAACAACATGTGAAGGTACTTAGTGCCACTGACCAGCACACTTGAAATGGCTAATATGGTAAATCTTATGTATGTTTTACTACAACTAAAAAAGAAATTTTTTTTTAATCTGGATTCCCACCTTTTCATGAAAAGTTGGAAGCTCTGATT